CTTTATCAGTGGTACCAGCACCATGATGACTTGTGTAAAAAGAGATTACTAAAGCTTCAACTCACAGATGGACACAATTACTGCCATGCTATTGAATATTGGCCTATACCTCATTTTAGGTATTGTACAGCTGGTGATTTAAAGAGATAAAATTTTGGTGAATTACTTAAATTTTTGAATTTAATTTGGTGAACTTGTGGTGACCATTGTGCATTTGTATAAAAGTGATTTGAAAGAAGTGGTTGGTTCGAAGTGATTTTAGCAAGTAGCTGTATAACAAATGCTGAATCTCCCAAATTCTCTACCTCCAATGTAAATGCGGTACCAGCTACTGTATAGTGGAAAATTTGGAGGGACTTAAATTTGGGGAATTGCTAAGTTTTGGTAATTGGCAGATTTTAATTTGGCAAATTTGTGGCCACGTGCCATTGAGTATGCGCATAATGGCTCAAAATGGCGGATTTTATTTTGGCAAATGGCTATTAAAATACCAAATTTGTCAAATTTAACTCCCTCTGAAATTTTTTGCAATACAGTGTTATGTATGATCATTTATTACTATAGTAGTCTCCTTTTGTTACAATTATTAGACCTTCAAGTCCTCCTGGTACCAAGTTATTGATATCAAGCAAAGTTAATGTTGTGGGTGGCTTTCTGTTACTAACAGACAAATCAACTGTTATTCTAGGAGGCCATGTTGAGCACATGGTTAAAAAATGGAATCTTGAAAAAGTATAAATTTTCAGTTCACTAGTTTAAGGTTACTTTTTAAAACGGGTACCATTTATTGCAAATATTGCTTTGGGATAAAATCACAATTATTAATACCCGCAGTTATTAATAATACCATGTAACTATTAGTAATAACTATTTAATCACAATTTTTAATACCAGGAAAATCTACCGCATGCTAAAATTGCAAGATTCAGTACCTCCAATTTAAAGGTACTTAGAGGCATACAAATGTATTGTCATACTTGGTAAAAAAGGATAGAATATGTGATAAATATGATACAGTCAGTAAAGTGCTTGTTTGCTTCTAAACTGCATTTTATGAGTTATTTTCTCTTCTGTACATGTACATATGTTCTACTGACTTAATATCATTCTGGCATATAGTACAATTAATCCTGTGGTATACTTGATTTGTAATGTATAAATATTTATTAACTAATAATAACAAAATTTGACAGCATTACCATCAGTTTAGTGTGACATAAAACACTAGTTTATGTTAGTAAGTAAGTGCTATAATATTTAGAATGAAATAAATATTTATAAAGATATTTATGATGCCAACAAAGAAGCCAATAAAATTAAAAATGAGGGCAAGCTGTCGCCTTGAATACATTGTAATGATGTCACCATCCATTTCAGCCTTCCTTGCCTATAATAATCACAATATGATAATGCTTTCAATTACATGGTTGGGGTCACTGTTCCATGTAACATGGATGTGGTCACCATAATAAAGAAATGATAAGAATCACAACATGATAATAATTCCAATTACATTCATGAGAGGCTAAAAGTCAACTACATTGTACACTGACATTGTACACTGATAATAAAAGAATTGTATGGTACTAACTTTGATAACAAAGCACAGAGCTGGAATAATACAAAAGAGGGCCAAGCATCCAATTAGAGAACAGCAAAAGAGTTGAATAATAGTTAGCATAAAAAAGTTGTCACTTGGAGTTTGATTACGACGATAAATGAAATGAAAGTCACGCGTGAGCTGAGGCTGAGTAGTGACAAGAGGCTGAGGAACGACAAGAGGGTCTGGAACGAGAGGCTCCCTGATAAGAGGCTCCCTGCTATTGGATGAATGACTATCATTCTATAAAAAACAAAGGACAGAACTAAGTCTGTGACTAAATTTAGGTGTTGCAAACCTCGCTTTGAATTTCTTCTTCATCATTAACTACACAGTCACTTGGAGGAAAAGAAACCAGTGCAGCTGCATTGAAGCAAAGTAGACATTTGGAAACCTATAACTTGTAGCTAAACTTACTGTTCTCCATACTGTTTGGCTGCGTGAGGGCTACCAGAGTTTTGATTTCTTACCGGAAGATGACATCATCAATTCAATATTAATTTTATAATTTTACCAGTTTTAATTGATAATTATTTAAATTATTTTTAATGAAGTCATCAACTTACACAAGATTTCAACATTTTAGGATTCTGTTGACATCAAGAAGCTTGTGACGGTGTCTCCCATAAGAACCTCTTCCACAAATATGATTCTCTTGTTTATTTTTATGTCTATTGTTTATTTTTAAAAATGTTATCTATTAGTGAACTTGGTAAGCATAATGTGATAGATGCACATCTTCCTTCTTTCCTGAAGTAAGCTTTTATAGTTCTGCATGTACATGTATGTACCTAGTTGTGTTGGGACTTAAGTTTCAAGCTAACTTAACGGGCAAAAATAATTGAGTGGTTTGACTGAAATAAACTTCATTAATAATGTGAAGTACCAGTACTTAAAACACTCATTCTTTAAGCCAATTTTACATGTATATCTACATTTTAATAGACATCAGAAAACTTCGAAAGAGTACAGTCATCTGGATCAGGTCCTCCTCCTTTTATTCCACTCACTGCTACAGCAAATAAGACATCAATTCAACAACAAAAGACTCTACCTACTGCACATCAAACAGAAAAGTCTTTCAAATATGAAGCTCCTTCAAGTAAATGATAAAGTGCATGCATGGTGTTAAATTTTCAAAAACATGTAGGGCAGCTTCATTCTCGTGAAGAACATCATCATACTGATAGACATAAACAGGACAGTAAATTAGAAGCAAAGTCCAAGCAAGTTGTTTAGTTTAAATAAATAGTTATAATAATTATTTTGTAGGGATTCAAAATACTATGATGACAGATCTACTGCAAGTACTGGGCAACTTAGAACATATCACGATGGCAAATCTGGTTCTAGTGACAGCAAAACATCTTCTAGTTCATATCGAGACAGCAAATCTGCTTCATACCATGACAGCAAATCTGGTTCAAGTGGCAGCAAAGCTGATTCAAGTTCATACCATGACAGCAAAACTGCTTTATATCATGACAGCAAATCTGCTTCTTACCATGATGGCAGATCTGGTTCAAGGGACAGCAAATCTGCTTCTTTAAGTGACAGCAAGGCTGATTCAAATTCATACCATGACAGCAAAACTGCTTCATATCATGACAGCAAATCTGCTTCTTACCATGATGGCAGATCTGGTTCAAGGGACAGCAAATCTGCTTCAAGTTTGCATCATGATGGTAAAATTAAAACACCTTCAAATTTACACAGCAAATCAGATGCACCCTCTTCATATCATGGTAGCAAACCATATCATGACAGCAAGAAAGCTTCAAGCTCATATCATGACAGCAGAATACATCATGAGAGTAAAAGCTCATTAAGCTCATATCAAAGCCAAACACGCCATCATGACACTAGCTCATATCGTAACAGTAAAAGCTCAAGCTCGTACCGTGACAGCAGAAAAACTTTAGGTTCATCGCATCATGACAGCAAAAGAGCAACCTCAGATCACGAAAGTAAAACACCTTCATATTCTGATACAAAAGCATCTTCAAGGTCATATCATGAAAGCAAAGGAGCTGCAGGCTCATCAGTTGGTGATAGTTCAAGCCATAGACAAGATAAAAGGTAAGCACACAATGTAGAATTCATACCCTAGCATTATACTGTAGCCCATGTACTTAGATCTGACTGCATGGTATACCAGTACATACATTTAGCTACAATTATAAATGTACATGTACATGATATCTATAGTTAAAGATTTCAAATTGATCCACAGGTACTCCAAGCACAATGAAGACAGAACTGGTAGAGGATTTGATTACCATGATAAGAGAATGACTTCATCTACCTCAGAGCAAAAAGTAACTACAAAGTAAGTTCAAGTCTCCTGTACAGTACTGATCTTAAGCATTATTATTAGTGCTACAACACAACAGAAAAAAGATACTTCAGTCACATACAACTGGGACTCTGTTGTAGCAAATTGTAAAGCACCATCTGCATCTAAGGAAAAGCAGAAAGACAAAATGACTCATTGATAATAATTACTGTTTCTTGTCTGCACGTGTAATTATTAGAATTTTTATTCTGAATAGATTGAGTTCAATAAAGTTGTGAAACTAATGAATTTTACTAGCATGAACTATAACATTAATAACAACATCATAACATTAACATTTAATACAAGTATTTTAGTAAGTGCTTGTGTTAAACTGTTAATGTGTTTAGAAGTACGTACATTTAGATTATACTTAGCATCAATACTGGTTAGTATGACATATTTAATAATTTGTTATTATAGCTATCACAGTAGCACACTACTGAAGTCTGATATTAATGTGATAAAGTCTCACATAATAGCAGTTATTGTATACAAAAGGAAGTGAAACAATAATATACGAATGTGTTTACTCTTAGTACTTTGTTCAACAACAGGAGTATTTATTACATGTAATGAAGCATGCTGTATTGATGAAAACACCCTGTCAAGATTGACTAGACCTACTTGCTTAGTAAAAATTTATTCTAGTTGTTTGGAATAGGATACAGTGAATTGCAAATTGTATACAGCCTATAAAAATTTGTGCCCATGTGAGCTCAAGCATTTGATTAGTTAGTCTATTGATTGGTCAGATTCATTTACAAAAGTTATTAATAATGACAACCAAGTTGAACCAACATACAATTCATTGTAGTCTTGGAATCACTTCAAAGGTCTGGTAAGCCATGTGTGCTTTTCTTTAATAAGAATGTCCACAATGAATTTAAATCTAATTTTCCTTCTTTTGCTGCAATACATTTATTGTGCTGGTAAGTTAAAGTATATATACTTTTATTTCATTTTTTATTTTTATTGCAATTATAGATATATTTATTACACATGCATACAGTACATACACATGTATGTACATCACATCATTCACATGTACAATTGTTACACAGGACCTTTTCATATAGCGGTCTAATAATTTTTAAATTAATTTAATTTACGGTACAGCATACATGTACATGTATCATGTTAATATCCTAAGTTGAAGAATCATTATTTTGAAATCAAGATAAAAAATTAATGGCAACAATTAGATACAATATGTATCTCATTTTATACATGTACATGTAGTAGTACACTAATTACATGTATGAAGTATGAACATACATGCATGTACATGTACATTCAGAGATCATTTACTAAGGTATTGTACCTCTAATAATTGAGAAAACTTTTGCTGTTTTTAACTTCTCTGCAAGTCACAAAAGTTTCTCATTGTATTGTAAAACACTTGGGAACAAATCAAACATCACAGTTACACAATATCTCTCGAAAGGACTCTTATCATATATTAACTATTATTCCTTTATGCACTATAGCTCCTCAAGACTGTAAGGATTGGTACAATAATAGTAGCACTACTAGTGGCCTGTATAATATTAATCCTGATGGAGGGACTCCTTTTGAAGTTAGTTAAAAGTAATTTATTAATAATGTCGCAG